TTCTGAGTGATTCTCAAATCACATTTTATATGACATATTCAGATAAAATATTAAATCAAGTGGTTTTTTTAAGCTCTAGTGAACTGGAGGCTTTTCCTAGAAATCACACAAGACACAGTATCTTGTGAATGAGGCAGTGAAAGATTGGTTCCCTTGGGTATGTATCTGTAAGAACAGGTTTCTTTTTCTCTCCCACACTTAATAAGGTTTCTCTGCCATAAATCTGTGGCAGCCTGTGATGACATTTCTGGAATTTCTTGAAAGTTCATGTAAATATCAGTTAAGAAAGAATATGTTTAGTTGGCTCTGGGTATCCAAGTAAGCTGTAAAGTCCTAAAGTATAAATACGACATCTGTAAAACTCTGATTCAAATTATATTTCACAAACAATTAAAAAAATAACACTGTGCACTTCTGTAGCACCTCGTCTTCATAGTGCTGAGATAACAGAAGCCTGAAACATCCTTGGGTGGTTCAAGAGGCGTAACTCAAACCAGAGTCGTATTTTTATTGTAAATCTCTTTCCAAATGGCTGTTATGTTATATATTCTCTCTAAAATGAATCCATTTCTAATACTGATTTCTTTCCAATAGCGTATTCTGAAAAGCATTACTCCAGAAACAGCTACAGAAATTCCTTTTGGAGACATCCGCATGAACGCAGTATAAGCAAACCTGTCTTCTGGGGGGAGAGAAGGGGAGCACAAAATGTAACTTTCACCAAACTCTACCCCCCACCAAAGAATTAAATTTCCAGCTGAGACAACAAATGGAGGCGTTTTCTGAGGAGTTTGCGTCACTGACAGCGGGCATTTGGAAACATGATGCCTCCAGCACATTAATCCAAGCAATTCAATGAAATCTACTGTGCACTTCTAACCAGGCTGAACTGACTGAGAACTAATTCATTCTGGAAACACCAGGATGTCTGTGTGCATGAAAACACCACTACTCCATGTGTGGGCTCTGGGGCCGATTGCATAAGCCACCATAGGACGAGTATCGGCGGGTGGGATCCGGTGCAGCACCCCCAGTCTGTGGCAGTACTCCTGTATCTTCCTCGCTGTGATCGTTCGTACTGGGCAATGTCATATTCTGCTTCTAAGGTTCTAATTGCTTCAACTACATTGAAAAGTACAAAAATATTTCTGATAGCCATAAGTTACTCAAGTAATACAGGGTTTTATAAACTAGGAAAAAAAAAAAAAGTGAATTCTTCAATCCCTCTGTTTGTAGTGGAGTAGACAGAGGAAGAGGAAACAATCCTGAGCAGCACTATACGCAGCTCTGCATACATCAGCACACACCTTTGGTAGCGTTTCCTGCATTTGGTAGATGGTAACAGTTTCTATTAATTGTTTCTTGCATAATAAATACTACAAAAGCATTTTTTTGGTAATGTTGTAGGCTTCATTCTCCTTTAGACCCAACCAAGCTATAAAAACTCATCATGGGTTACTTGCCAAGTACCTAATTTGCTAGCATTTCTGCACTGTTTTCAAAACTAAGCTAGACAGTCACAAAATCATTCTCCTGACAGACCTAACACCCAAAGAAACTACTGACCAACAATGAATTTTTTTGAGTTCCAATGCCAAAAAGTGGAATCTTAAAGATCTGCTGCTCTGCTTTGACTGTAATTTCCAAGTCAGTTGGAGGACAACAGTTTTGCTGCAGTTCCATGGAAGTTTAGATAGACTTAAGTAGTCATCACTTACATAAAATCTTATCTTGCATTTTTACTCTATCACACAGATTGTAACAGAAGTAAAAGAAAATAGAGGATAAACGTCTCTTTTGTATCTCGTGGTCTCCTTAGGTAACATACTGCTAGAAGTAACAAGGTTCTATATGCATTCATGGCAGCAGGCATTAAGGACCTGATTGAAGAGTTTACATCAGTACAAAGAAGTTACCATATTAGAGGAAAGCAGTGGCGATGTGTTTTTGAAACACTGAGGTGGTTCTCCTCAGGTGTGCAGACACCTCTAGGAGTGAGGCCTCTTATGCTTAACTTTAGGTCTCAAGCCCAAGTTCCAATAAGGAAATGACTTAAAGGGACACAGACTGTTCTTTCAGAACTACAAACAGAAAGATTCCTGAACTATTTTTAAAAAGGGAATATGTTATTTCGTTGCCACTAGAAAAACATAATAAATGTGTCTTACTGGACAGTTACTTATAAGTAATAGTTTTGTAGCTCAGCCCTCAAGTATATTTGAAAACTACTTCCAAAACTGGCTTCACTGCAAGGAAAAGAGCAACAGTTTGGGAATTCTTTTACTATCAGAAAGCCTCTTAAACAGACATTCTGCTACCTTTTATTAGGAAGGATGAAGGTGAGGACAGAAATGGTTCAGTTAATTATGAGCATTATCTGTATCGAAGCCACAGTTTCAACCCTCGCAGACAAACAAACTGGGAACATTATTTCTAATGGAATAATGTGCAGAGTAATAACTGCAGAAATCACTGCTATTCAGTGTGCAACACTACTGCTGTTCTTCTTTTATAACAACATTTGAAATGGCAAAAAGATGCACCTTTAATTTGTATTTTTTAAGACACTAATATACAACAGACATTGTCTCTGGGTGGCTGTAGCACAGAATACTGAGCAACTTCCCAAGAAACACCACTATTTTCTAGTGGATCACAAGTCAGCCAAGAAGCTCCAAGAGCCCTGCAACAGTATAAAATACAGCAAGGTCTCTCAACTTCAATTTCTCAGTTGAAAAATTAGAATAATGAACTCCAAGTACAGACATACTGAGAGAAGTCTTTAAAATTATTTGAAGATATAAAAAGCAATGTTGACATGTGAAGTCACAGGGAAAATATTTTTAGAAATAGGCAGTCCAGAAGATTGTGATGTTAGATCTTTGCTCTCTTTTCACCAGGATAATCCAGTCAGGTCTTTATGGGAACAGGGGGCAAGGAAGTCCTTTAGAAGTGGATTAAAAAGGCTTTTCTTTTCCTGAATAATTCAAAGATAAAATACATCCATGTGTTCATCTATAAAGCTGAAAGCTGAACTTGCAAGGCAGTTTAGTTCCTTTTTTTTTTGTTGTTGTTATATGGTATGCTAGATTGAAGTTTTCTAAACCTTCTTACGATAACTTCATTTTTTAGTACCTCTATTTAGCTGAGTGGTTGAAATATTGAGAACTTGATTCATTTATTTTTATCATTGTTTCTTTTTTCTCCCTTTTACATATCCACCTGAAAACATTTAGAGTAACCAGTATTTATCAGATAGCTCAACAAGCAGCCATACATTAAACACTGGTTTTATACAAAAACTAGTCACATTAATACCAAATGGGCTGCACTGCAATTAAAAGTGTTTTGAGGCAAACAAATAAATTCTTTCTCTTCAGCTCACCTTCCATTTCTCTGTCACACAAGTATATCCTACTCTGTTCTGAACAGTGAAAAGGAATTTATGAAACTGGTAAATCGGGACCAATGTTTGCCTTTTAAGCAAAGAGAATTAAGCTGGAGTTTTAGCTGTACAGAACTAAGTATTCCCTCCAACTTGTACATGATGCACCTGTATTAATTTATGCAGCTGTTTAGTTACAAGTGTTGCAAGCTGATTGTAAGTCATCAGTATGTGCCTTGTACTGTAAACTGTTATTGTAATAAATTTAATATTCATAATCCATCTGTAGACGTCTCTTGTGCCTCTCTCATGGGAAGAACAAAGATAAAATCAGTTCCAAGAAAAACCAGAATAGCTAGTCCAGTTTACTACACCAACAAGGCCTCTGACAAAAAGCAGAGGATTTCCTTTAGTGCTTGAACCTTGGCCCACTGCTAAATACTCTTTCATTCTATTCCAACAGAAGAACCAATGCATGTTACATTTGTTTAGACAGAACAGTAAAACAAACCAATCCACACTGGGAGTAAGTGCCTGGCTACTCGATTAGCTTACATATGAAACTCACTGCATTTCAAGTCTTTGGAAACTGGCATTTAATTTTACTCACATTTTGTCTCATTACCAAGTCTGCTGAACAAAACATTAGAGAAACACAAATCTCAAAGTATATTTTTATATTAGCTCACCTTGCCAAAGAATAAAAGTGATAAATTTACTACAAAACAGAGTGAAAACCACTGTGAAAAGTGGTGAAAGTGTATTTTAAAACCTATAACCACTGTCAGATTTCCTACTTACCAAGTTATAGTTTGGAGAGAATTTTATTATTGATTATGAACCTTTGAACAGACAGACTGACAAATCTAAAATATCACTTCCAGTAGAACAAGCAGATATCACTGTAATACATGAAAAAAGACTCACATACCTTATTTCACACAAAAAAGATGCAGTAAAATAACACAAGGATTAAAAAAGACACACACATTAGACCCAGTATGTATCTTACACTTTATTTGAAGTGTTTCTGTACATCAGGTCCCCAAAACCAAAGCCCACACATAAATAAAAAAGTCATATGTCAATATGCATTTATCTTACAAAATGCCATACTTCATACAGAGATCTCCTAGATTATTATTCAGGCTTTTTCTTGTTTTCCCCATTTTTACAGATCTGTTTCTCATTTTTAAAGCATCGCTGGGCAACAATGACTCCTGCTAAGGGCTGAGAACACCTTTGTTTTGGCAGAGCTCACTGTTTCAGCTGTGAAAGGAGTAGGGGCTGCCAGGGGGAAGTATTCTCACCTTATGTTGTTTAACACTCCTAGGTCTACCCCAGAATCTTCAAATACCCAGGACAGGGTACTGAAGCCAGGGTGGACAATCAGCCAAATTTAATATTTCAACTGTATAAACAGACTAAGGGTGTGTATCAAGTGATCCATCAATGAATTTAGAAAGTTGTTCTGCTACTACGGCACACACAATGTCTTAAATGGAAGCCAGGAATAAATAGCTAGGATACACTTTTACTTCTGTACAAGAGTCCATGCAGCAGTGGCTTTTCCTCTTAGTTGACAGAGGAAGTGGTTCTGTCCACCACAGCCACGTTAATCTTCTTCCTTCTCAATGTAAGATTTAGTACCGACACGTGCCATCTGCCTTGCCAAATAGCGGTCCCGTGCCGACATGACTGTCTCTTCATTGCTCCGTTTGGCAAATTTACTCATGCTCTCAGATGCTTTAGATGTTGCTTCTTTCTCCTCTTTCTCCCCTTCTTCTCCAGCTTTACGTTTCTGCTCAGACAAAATTCTAGAGCTGGATTTTCTCTTCTCATCCACCTCTCTCTCTTTTCCCAGATCAGCCTCCCCATCTTTTTCTAAATACATAGGACTACTTTCCCTCCCTTCTCTGTATTTCTTTTCATCACTACCATATTTCTCTCTCCTCTCTTTCCCACGATCGTCCTTTTCTCTGTATTTCTCTCCGCTCTCCTTCTCTCTGTCACTGTATCTATCTTTACCATTTCTTATTCTTTCTTTCTCTCGTTCCTTTTCTGAGCCCTTCTCTTCTCTCTCCTTTGCCTTCCTCCACTCTCTGCCACGTCCTTCCCTCTCTTTTCTTTCCTTCCCCCTTTGTTTATCATCTTGCTCTTCCCTCCTTCTGTAATTATCTTTATTAGTATGATCCCCATATCTATGTCGCTCTTCCTTTTCCCTTTGGTGATCCTTTTCGTGGGTCCTACTTCTCTCATAATCTTTTTCCCTGTATTGTTCATCATTTCCCCTTCTGCTTGATCTGCTCTCTCCCTTCTTTGTAAGATGATTTGTTGGGGCTTTTGTGCGCAGCTCTTCCTCCACACTGGATGAGCTTGGTGACCTGGAATGCCTCTGGCTCTTGTGATGTTTAGCCTCCTCTTCACTGCTCACAGAGCTCTCTCTCTTTTTCTTATTTTTCAAATTTACTTTACTATTTTTGTGTCTCTTATCATCATCACTACTATCAGTTCCCAAGTCACTATCAGCATCTGGATTATCCTCTTTCTTAGCAGAGGGCTTCAGTCTTTGCCTTTCATATGAGCATGTGTTCCTTTGGTTGGATTCATCACAACTGTCAGATTTTTCTTCCTTTATCCTACATTTTTTATGTTAAAAAAGAAAAAACAACATTACACAGCCTGCAATCTCAGACTTTTCTACAAACTGACTTCTGGTCAGGTCTTAAGCAAAAGATGGTGCTGACAAGTCTAAGGAAGAACATCTCTATCTGTGCCTCAGGTTCCAGGAATCCAGTGCAAAGGATTTCTATTAAGTATCTGTATCTGGTTCATTGGTGCACACGAGCTGATGAACTTATCTAAAAGAATGACTGTGGTTAAGTACCTGTAGCCTCCACCTAAGGAAAAAGACATGGATTTGTACTCTTGTATAAGCTTTTTTTCCCTATGTGTTTATTCCTCTTTTCACATCAAATAATAGTGCAGAGAAGCAGCAGGCTGTCTGTTTTGATGACAGAGGTAAGAACATAGCTTCCATTAGTAGCAGTAGCAGGTTTTTTTAATCCAGTATTTGTGAAGATCTCACTCTTGTGACTAGATAGAAAGTAGTATCTTTAAACAGCTCATAAAAAAAGCCAACCCATGGAGGACCAATCTGGGCAGGAGACAGAAAGGTTTTGCTTCATCGTTCTTTTCTGACTGATAACGAAGCACACGTTTATTCACACAAACCACGTGTCTCTTCTTTTTAATCATACAACTACCGTGACAGTCTGTGGTAAATTGGGATGAATCAGCACACCACCTAGTCAGGTTGAATGGTTGATGTGTGCTTGAAAGCACGGTTAGTCTACAAACGACGACTGAAAACTACGCTGTAAAGTTTGATAATTTATTTGGTAATCCAATTAATTAAAATGACAAGTCCAAAGTGGATCCCTTTAGAGGCAAGTGATGCAAATTCTGAGATCTAAAAATTAAGCCTTTTTCTCTCTGTATCCTATTGTACCACCATAATAAGAATAAAATTAAAATATACACCTGAGCTTATTTGAAAGCTTTCCTCGAATTAATTTTACACACAAATCACAAAAGGAATATTTCCTTAATTTGCAAGATTAAAACCCCATCATTTCAAATGATCTATACACAGTACAGAACTACATCTTCCTGAAGATGATCTGAAAGAACTACTAAAGCAAACGGACAACCAAGTGGGCTGACAACGACTGCTGCTGTTTATATAAAGATACAGATGCAAGTAACTTAGATTTCATCAATGAAAAGAAGAAACCATAAAATGCAAAATTCATTTAACCACCTCAGTAGCAATCTTTGTGTACCACTGAAACCAAGGAGGTATTTCACACTGGTGAAAGCCTGACACAGGATGTTTTTCCAAACATATCAGTATACTGATAAATTAAGTCTCAAATGACAAAACTGTGTCCTCGAATTTTCCATTCTCTGCTTAAATTCAGGGAGCTGTTCTGCTTTTCTTACCTCCTATTTCTTTTACACTACTTTTCTCTATTTATTTCCAATAAGGTGGCATATCCTTATACTAAAGACATAATCAAGAATTCCCTTATTTCAGATAGCTGAGTAACTTCACTGTGATCACATTCTTCATTTAAGCTAAGAATTTACTTTCTAAATAATGCAATTTCTTTGTGATGCCAAGCATTTAACTACTGACATTCGGGTTTAGGGCCTATCTCAAGTGAGGTTTAACCTGAATTAATTGTTTCAAATGATCAGTTGTTGCATATAAGAAGCATAACCCCTTCACCATATTTATCCACAGGGCAGAATTTCACCATCTCAACTACATAAATAATTCAGCCTCATCTCATTACTTTGCTTTGAATGTGCATATATTAAGATTTTTAAATATTCACATTGGATTTCCTTTCTATTTTATTAATTTCCTTTTACCACAGTATCAACACTAAATTAATTTATTTTTAAATAAGTTAGAGACCCACATTCTTTTCAAGGAATTGGTATCACAACATCATCTCCTATGACTTACCTCTGTGCTCACTATTTTACCTTTTGTCTCCCTTGTGATCCAAAGTATGTAACTAAATGCATATTGCCAAATATTATGTAAACCAAAGTAAACACAGGTTAGAATAACACCAAGCAGTACTACAAGTATGACTGCCCTCTTGATACTTTTTAAACAGCATGCCTCTCCCGCTTGTTTCTCTCTGATAGTCTCTCTGATACCACTAATGATCATTAGACATTTTCCAAATAATTGAGTTAATCAGCTGTAGAAAGCAGTCAGCTTATCCCACCAGTGTTTTACTACTTTCTGTCTAATTCTTACAGTGTTCCAGTGAGTCTGGAATCACAAACAGCCAGAAGCTGGTTTACATGTGAAAGCCTTCTGGAATCCCATCCTACCTGGCTTCACGGAAGCTGCATTTCGGCATCTCTTCTTCCCCTACCCTCTGGTTTAAAAGATGTCTGTAAAATCCACTGAGATCCCTCTGTTTGGTCACATCCAGGTATGCTAAGAGGAAGAAAGGAAGGTTGGATTTACTGTGCCACAAATACTCATCAGACACAACTCACAATTGGTAGACACCACCAAGACTGCTATCTCCATTCTGGAGGTTCTCAAGCCCAGAGTGAAAAAAGCTCAGAACAACCTGATTTGGCCTCACAGCAGACCATGCTCTGAGCAAAAGGCTGGAACAGACGACTTGCAGAAGTCCACTCCAATAGGATTTATCTTATGATCCTATATCCTATTCTTCACACCTATTCCTGGGACACTGTACAGAATGTCTGAAATCAGGAGTGTAAGCATCACTGTACCCAGGCTTACCAGCCTTCCTTCAACAACTGACCTTTCCTCAAAAATCAAAAGTAGCAACCCAAATAGTACTGACACACAAACAGAGGAGCTTCCTCTGTTTCTTTTGTAACATGTATAAAGGAAAATAACAGAAAAGTGGGATCTGATTCAGTAGCTGCTGTCTGGTCCTTTTTGATTTTACTTATCTGAAGCCTCACAGAGAGACCAGATGACAATGCTGAAATCATATACAAGGCCATACTTCTTAGGGGGAATTATTTCAGTGTGAATCTCACCCTCGATAGCTGCCTCTCTTCTTTCTCTTTCCTCCTCCTCAGCCCTCTCTTCCAGCTTCTTCTTGTAGGCTGAAGTCACAAAAGCCTCTTTGTGAGCAAACTCTCCTCCTTCCATTTCACGCTCTTTCTGAATTTTTCTTTCCATTCTTTTGTCTTGCTCTTTCTTTCTAATCTCAGCTGCTTTGAGGATATTGTGGATGTATCTGGGCTAAAATAGGAGAGAAAAAAAAGGTATAATGCTGAGAGGTAACAAAGGTGGCTGAGAAAACACAAATTGGGATTGCTGGAGATGTTGAAGAAAGTTTGCAATGGAAGAAAATTGACAGAAGCTAGTCTAACATATTCTCACACTGTTTGACAGCCATCAGAAATAAACCATCATTTCCATTTGGATCACTAACATGGCATGCTTCCCAATAACAAAAGAGGTTGCTGTGTTCAATCAAAACATTCAGCCCATCTTTGACTAGGATTATTTTTGCTCAAATGGTTTTTGATTTCTCACCCATCTTCTGACTTGTACTAGTCTTGCCTTTCTATTGCTGTAAAGGAACAGGAAGTTTCCTTTACACCCACATAACCCAACAAGAGCTTTCAAATGAAACAGAGTAGGTAACAATGAAAATCTCACTTGTCAGGATAATTGACCAATGCTTTGAAACAAGGCATTGGGCTGTGGAAACCAGCTCCCATTTCACCAAGGAAAGTGGATTACTTTGGTCTTCTGACAGTCCTCCAGGAAGCACGCTACTGACTGAGGAAGGAGGATTTATGTTTGTTGGCTTAATAAGCAAAGAGTCTTTATTATCAGAAGTAGAAGTGCTGCAGGGCCCCCTGCCTCTAATCCTATTACCCACTGTAACATTCTCTTCAGAAACTCAGAGAGAAATGCTATATGTATATCATAAACTGGGTGGGAAACTTGTAGCCTGCTGCCCTCCAGAATTCCACTAGATCACGACTCTGAACTAACAGTTTTGCCAAAATTCTTGCAAATTACTACTTTATGTAACAGAATTTGAGTGCAATACTTGTATGCCCCAAGAGAAAACGCATCTGACAAAGCTTGAACATTAAGGAACCAGGGTTATTCGGAGCACACAGAGATAAGACAGACAGCATACATTTTCAGGTATCGACCTTTTTGTCATCGTTTCCAGATAACACTCTGGCATTACTTTCTTTCTTCTTCTCCTGCATTTCATCATAAATACTGTCATATTCATACACTGTAGCATCTTCTTCCAAAGCCTTCTGAATCTCCAATTTAGTCTAAAAAGAAAAAAGAGAAGATACCAAAATATGAAGCATGAAATTTTTTACTATTTTCAAACATTTTATTCCTATATTGTAATTTAAACAGATCTATAGTATAAAAACTATCCATTGGAACATTGAGTGTAAATTTAAAACAGTCTGATCTACAAAGTTCTTCAACTGTTTACCAGGATTGAGAAGATGAACAACCAAATCATGACCAGTAATTGCAGTTACAGGAAATAAAGGCAGCAAAGCACAAAAGTTAAAACAATACTGGAAACTTCTTAATGAGCCAACTGTTCTGTCAAATAATGTAACAAACAGTAAACATTTCAATAAATTTTACTATCTGTTTTCATCTATAGTTTATCCCCCTTCCCTAAAGGTCCAAATAGTACCAGTGTAATTCAGGATATGATTCCATATTTCACAGTTCTATCTTCTGTTTGCACAGTCAAGTTGGAAGTAAGAACTGTGAAATTGCTCCGTTTTTAAAAGCCCTCTCAGAAAAAAAGCCAACTACGAAGGGGCCCTTAGATCAGATCTCCTGACAACAGGAGAGGAATGCTGAGTGGCAACCACACAAGTTTCTCTCAAGCACACATCACCTCCATCAAAAGCCAGCAATGTGTTAAATGTGTGATGCACAACTATCTTTTTCTTCTAGCTATGTCTTCTATTGCTCTGGAACTTTTTTAAATGTAGAAATGATGTTTCCTCTGTGCAACTTACTCCTCAGTAACAGTAAAAGGCTCTCTGTCAGTATATACTTAAAAACCCAATACTTTGTAACATTACATTCTACAAATGAAACAAACCGAGAAATTCTAAAAACATCAACCTTCAGTGTCACAAAACAAACCTCAATATCTTGTGTATTTAAGTGCTTGCACTGAGCAATCAGGAAGTTTATTGTGTTTTAAATTATGACCAGCTCTGTGTTAAACCTCACTCACAAAGCTTTCATTGGGCAGTTTTTCAGCTACTCTGATCATAGCCAGAAGAATTTCAAAAAGAACAATCTTGCCCAGAAAAGTGAAACAAGGTCTTTGCTAGAGGAAAGGCTCTGAGAATGTCTAGTCAAGTTTTAAAGATCTTGTGCTGCAAAGAGCAATACACAAAATTATAAAATTACATGGAATTTTTTTAAAGGGTGACTCTAGCTCTGAAGTTGCACAATTATGTTTCAGTGATTATCTAATAAAAGAGAATGGATGCAGTAATCTCCTAATTTCTCATGGGAATTAAGAGCTCCCACTGCACCTTACCTGTTTCATTGCTTGTTTTTTCAATGCCTCTTTCTGAAGACTTTCACCAACAGATGGCTACAGGAAGGAAGCATTGCAGAAATAAAATTAATTACATTGACACAGCAAATATAGTTTTTCTACCATTCTAACAAACTATATAATAGTCCCATTATATAAGTCAGTCTCTCAATTCAATAATATTTTTATGTAAGCAAGCTACAAATTCATTCACAAGCATACAAAGAATCAGCCTCTTCCATGAGCAAAGTATTGCAGTACCTCAACATACATAAATATGCATTTTTTATTAAAAAGGTGATGAGTTTAAGAACACTATTTCATTAGACCTAGACTTCTTTCTGGTTCTTGAGGAAGATGATCCTCTGCTTGACATATTAAGGGTCATCAATGAAGGATTCCTTTATCAGACACTCTGACATTGGTTTTACAGAAAGGCACCTGAACAGTAAGGAATCTCCCCTGCATTATGCCAGAAAGCAAGGGCTCAGTAAAAGACAAAATAGATTCTCCAGTTGTATTTACAGAAGCAGCTTTAGTCCATCAAAATATTTGAAATGCTGCTTAGAATGTTTCCCTTGTCTGTCCACATGAAATAAAAGTGTTGATGTACAAAGATTACATAAACACAAAAGTAATACCTAGTCCCTGTTATTGTACATATAATTGTAAAGACACCACCTGCTGTTTATTTGTCTAGAGCAGCAGTAAGTTTACAGAAACAAACACCTTCCCTAATGGTTTATGGTTGACAATTTCCTGTTGTGCTGTGAGCTCTGATAGATGAGAACCTCCCGTCCTTTTGTATTGTTTTTACTTATCAACTGCCCATTTATTAAAGGCCCTATAAACTCAGCAATCTGTCTCACACTTTCTCCTTTCCCTGCACTCAAGCTATTCTTCTGAAGCACAAAGCTTACAGTTTAATATTTTCTAGAAGGAAATTGCAGTTGCTACCAAAACCCCAGGCGTGGTCCTTACTGACAGATAACGTAAGACACCTCTCCATCCCTTTTCTCAAACCAAAAGCTGCTTCTGCTCTAATACAACCTGTTATGAAAGACCCATGGTGGGGCTTTGCACTTCAACATTGCCCTTTTGAATTCTCTACATGTTGCTTTGCAGTAGACATGTAAAATAAATTACTTTTGTTTAAAGTGAAATACATTTTAAAGGGAAATGAAATGTTTCAGTGACGTCAGGCAGATTATATCTAGTTTGAGTTTAATCTCTCACTACAACCACCTAGTTTTAACTGGACATGCAGAAAAGTATCTGGTCAAACAGCAACAGCAGGATAACTTGGAGCTCTATGTGATCAGCAAGTGAAAGAAGGACATATAGTCAGACAGTTCCCAAAATGCAAAGCTTGTATTTCAAATGAGCTTGTCAGTCCAAGAGCACTTCATTGTTAAAGATGGAGAAATTGACACTTCCAGAGAAAACTTCATCTCACTGATTTTAGGTGTCTACTTTAGAATGAGCTTAGTTGTGCCCCAGAAGCACCCGCATCTCCACTGACTGTACAGGGAGCTGAGGGAACTCCAGTGCAGACACCTGCATGTGTCTCTATGGATCTTGCCCCAACTCTGTGGCCCTTTGTCATAGAATCATAGAATGGTTAGAATTGGAAGGGACCTTAAAGATCATCCAGTTCCAACCCCCCTGCCATCAGCAGGGACACCTTCCACTAGACCAGGTTGCTCAAAGCCTCATCCAGCCTGGCCTTGAACACTTCCAGGGAGGAGCAGCCACAACTTCCTTGGACAACTTTCATGTCCATGTCTGTGAAGGGCTGAGATGTGACTCTGCTCAGAGCACTTCATTCTTCCCACATCAGATAAGAAATCTCGGACTGTGAAATCCTTAGATTCATGACAATTTGGTATCAAAACATCTTAAAATGAGCTATTTCCACTCTCATATATGTACATAGAAGTTCAAACTTGGGGCTTGCCCTCACAGCAACCTCTATTATCCAACTACAGCCTGCACATGGATGATCACTAAATGCACCAGACTCAAGCCTTCATGGGGAAAAAACAAATCAAGTCAGGCAATAAAGTCATCTCAATTCACACATTACACAAGCCATGGCTACCAGCAGGAGATTAAAAGAAAAAACATGAAAAACAAGTCGTGCAGAATTAGCTTTCCTTGGCATTCCCTCCCAGCTTCCAGAAACCAGTTCAGGGACTTCCTGAACTGGAGGATGCACCTGGACCATTGTTTGACACCAAGAGACATCCCTTAATTTGACTAATCATTTCTGAATCCATTTATATTTTTGGCCATGCCACAATATCCTGTGGCAATGAGCTTCACAACTTGATTATAGACCGTGTGGAGAAAAAAACCCAACTTCCTTTTGTCAGATTAAACCAGTTACTTGGTAATTCTGTAACATACCCTACCACTCATATGATGAGAAATGGCAAAAATCACTTTACTTTCTTTGAATCACTCTTGATTTTACATACATCCTCTCAAGTTATTCCTCTCCACTTCCTTCTCCTCAGTAATATCTTTTCTAAGATGCAATTCCTTTCTGATACAATCAAGAAACAGAAGTTTTATCTGCTGTACCACAGAAATATTTTCAACTAAATTCCAAAGATGAAATTGAACATGGAACAGTGCACTGGGAATACTGACGAGTAACCTCTGAAAATGCAATGCATGAATTAGGGAATAGTATTTTTTGAGAAAATGGATATATCACAAATAACAAGCAGGAGGAATGGAAACTTATTTCTAACATATCATAGTTTGTTGCTGTAACATCTACTCTCTACAACAGGCTTTCCTAGGGGTAACAACCTTCCCCACAGTTTTTAAACACAGCAATGACTCCTTGTTGCAAAGGCAAGTAATTCAGAACTATATTGGCTAGAAGTAACTGGAATTGCCTTGTTCACTTTTTCCCAGTCAACACTGTATTTCAAGAAAATTTCCATCCCGGATGTCCTGTTTCTTATGAAATAACTCAAAGACCATCTTCACCAGCAACTAACACCCACTAACAAACTAAGCCACAGCAAAAAAACCTTTCAAATTCCTTCAGCAAGGGTACAGGCAAAATCTTAATGAAATATGCATAGTAACACTTAAAAAAAAGGAGCAAAAGTTCAGTATCTAATATATAATCACAGACCAAGTCAGGTGTGCAGATTTCCCAGCACAAACTTTATTAGAGTTCAGTTAAAAATACACAATCTCCAGACATTTGAGATGTAGTTCTGACTGATAAGGTAGCAGACAGGAAATGAAACCCCTCCCAAATGCTGCTCCTTATCTTGAAAACCTCTGAAATTATTATTGAACTAATAAAGTAATTTTGCTTTTTTAGAAAATGATCTTCTTTGATAAAGGCAGTTATGAGATTATTACTTTTTGCTGGGTATGTACCATACTGATGAGCATGACAACTTTTAAGAGTCTTTATAACAGACTCTAGTAGTGAATCTGTCAGCCTTTCTAAAAGGGAGGATACTTGATCTGTTAAGCTAAAAGTCAGCAGACAGCATCATACATTATTATTATTATTATTATTATTATTATTATTATTATTATTAGCATTGTTATTAGCATTGTTATTAGCATTATTTTGCTTTAATGTTTAGATATTGAGAGAAAATGGAGAAGTTAAAAAACACAAGATAGCCCCATACTCAGGAAGGTTCCCAGCCCCTGCTGTGTAATGTTAATGACAATAGATTATTTCAAGCTCAATCTTGGGATCTGGAAAATGTCAGGTCAGCCCCTTAACGCAGAGAAAGACACTAAATCCCAAACAGATAGGGAAAATGCTCCTGCCACTGAGGACAGCGGATCCACTGTCAGCTCTGTTAGCTGTATTTAAAGGAAACCCTCTCTTTAGAGACATGGTGCCAGCTATGAGCTCAGGTGGAGGGACACACCTCCTGACAGCGCTGAGGACAGCAACTAAGTGAGGAAAGAGATGGGATTTAAGATACATTCCTGTCCTCTTTGTTTCTTGTACGTCCTATGAGCTGCACTGAGACAGTTTCATGTTCAGGACTGAGGGGATGTTACTAGGAAGGCCCTCAGCCCTTTCGTGTTCTGTATGAAGGGAGCTCAGACAGCCCCAACAGCACCATTCTGGATTCTGTAATGGAACCAGGCACAAACACAAGAGACTAGGAATGCTGGGTTCAGGCTTTCTATGACAGAAAAATTACAACTGCCAGTTCATTCAAAAAACATTAAAAAAAAAGTTTTTATAACATGAGTCAAAGGCTCACAAAGATTATTTGATGCTTTATTAACATTTTTTTCAAGCATGCAAAAGAAAAGAGCATCGAGTGAAGCTCTAGAGCAGTGAGAACATTTTTGTAACACAGGTTCTGTATTTAAATTCAACTTCTTAAATGTTAAAATTCTAGACTATAAGTATATGTAAAGGTTATTTTCTGGGTTTTGTGGACAAAAGTTCAACATGCACATAATGACATTATGATTAAATTATCATAAGTAATTCTAGATTGATAAAACTCAGTAAATTGTAACATTATGTCCAGAAGGCTTCATCCATACCCAGAGCTCATCTCCACAATTCTGTGTTTCTATTCTTTACCTGTAAACTATGAAGCTACTTGTTATAATTCCTTCAAAAAATCTGGTTTAGAAGTTGGGTTTCTGTAAAGTAACCAAACCAGCCTATATACCTGCCAGTTCTTGGATGCCCCATGGCCATACTCACAGCAGGACATCCAGAAGTGTAATTTCTAGAGTGTACAGCCCCCTCTGCTGGGGCAGGGAGACAGAAAGTATTTGAAGGCAGAATTTAAAAGAAATAAAAATTAAAGGAGACTATAGAAAAGACTACTATCAACATCATGCAGTACAGTCATACATCACAGAGTATCACTAAACTCTGATCACAGAAAAGGTGTGTATTGTTCAATCTAGCATTACAAGTATTGTGAGTACTTCCAGAACTACAAGTAATTCTCATTACTTGCCTTTTTTTTTTTTCTTTTCTTTTCTTTTTTTTTTCCCCTTCAGAACATTTGGGTTGTCCAGCTTCATTTTTGTTTACAGTGAGTGCAACCATCATAAATCAGTTATATCAAATTTGGGTGGAATAAGTTACAGGATAAATACTTAACAACTTAACAACTACACTTTAAAGTTAGTATCTGAGAAACAGCTGTTGATTACTCCTGTCTTTCTGTTTGCAGACATATTTACCAGGGAGAGCAAACAAGTTTCTTTACAACCCAGATACTGTGAACTCTCGCAAACAGGTTGCCACATGAACTTTTGGAAGAGCTGACAGAAAGTAATTAACAGTCAATTAATCACTTCCATGTAACTTGCACTAAAGAAAACACAGATCATATTTCACACCCAAATGCAAATGATGACACATATCTTGGTGACACTGTCATAAGCTGATGTGGGCATTAAGGGTTGTAAATAAATGATTTGCAGAATACAGAGCAAGTTTCAGAAAAAAACTGGTGAACTGACCTCTTCATCAGAGTCATCTGCAAACACTGAGAGTTTCTTCGAGGCAAGATTCTTCTGTGGCAATTTTTTTGGCATAATGAGCCCATATCTAGGGAAAAAATTAAAAGTTGCCTTTAACATGACTTACAACAAAACACATAGCACTTTCCAAACCAAAATCTCCCATTCACAATTTTAGAAACACAGATCTGCATCGTTATCAAGTATAGATCTAAGCAGCACTTGCAGCAGTGCACTCAGCCTTGCCACACACTTGCCAGCTTCTCCCATAGCCAGCGCTGTCTTTTTCCAAGCAAAGTTTCTGGACACAATTATTTTCCTAAATTAGGCCACAAATTCCTCTTGTCCAGAGTTCTCTGAGTGATTTTTTTTTCTCCCTCAGAGAAGTACAACATTACTACTGTTTAACCTCCAGAAATTTAGTCTTAGTCTACACTAGACACTATTCCATAACTGTTTGCTGGGGAAGTAAATTAATCTGTTTCGCATGGCATTGTAAACCACAAACCCACAGATATAACTATGGCAAAAGCCAAGATTTAGTCATCTTATGTCATGCAGGGACAGATTAACTACACACAGAACTCTTCTGCTGACACAGCTGAACTCTGTGCTCAGAAACACTCCCGATGTTTTTGGTAATGATCTCTAAATCAGGAATTTTTTCCCCCGCCTGCCTTTCCCTGAGTCCACGACTGACTAAACAGCTGGTGACAGACTGTAGCTTGAGCTGAACTCCACGATGCCGCAGGCACTACATCGTCATTGTGACAAACGAGCTGCTTCCCCGTGCTCTGAACCTGCCTCCCAACAGCTCCCCTGACCCCGCTGCGGGAGCGCAGCACCGAACCGGCCCCGTCAGGCCGCTGCTCGGGGGGCGGGAGGCGGCGGCTGCCCCGCGGGCTGAGGGAAACCTGAGGGGATTCTACTTCCCAAGTGTTGTCCCGGCAACACCACTGCGGCAGCGTCCCACGCCTTCCCACCGCATTATTA